ACAAGACCCTGACCCTGCCAAGACTGGAGTTGATCTTTGTTCTTTTTCTTTTTGTCTTCTGATCTCTTTAAGATAAATTACAAGGCTGTGATACCTACTATTGTGCAACTAGTTGTGAATCCTTTGAGTGTCATACCATTGCTGTTTCTGAATTACTTATTTCTTCACAGACATGTGCAAAACAAGCATTAACAGCTTAGCACTTAGCACTGAATGAATTTGACAGTGAGCATTGAATAGGACTTATTTTTAATTGCTTTCTATTTTGTAGCTTAAGATGTAATTTCCAGGTGTTTGGTACTTTGAAGTCCTGCTACACTGAAGCCAGTCAAACTGAAATATTTAAGGAATTAGTTTCTTAAGGGTTTTTCGTGTCTCCGAACAAGGTTAGAGGACACATATTGGTTCTACCTCTATTAAAAATATTTTAACTTTTAGAGAAGAGAAGAGAAGAGAAGAGAAGAGAAGAGAAGAGAAGAGAAGAGAAGAGAAGAGAAGAGAAGAGAAGAGAAGAGAAGAGAAGAGAAGAGAAGAGAAGACACAACTTAAGAAGAAAAGGAAAAGGATGAAGGTCAACATGGAAGGAGGGATTGATACGAACCTGAAATTTAATGTGTTCTCTCACAGAACCTCTAACTAGACCTAAGCCTTTTTTTTTCCTTCTTGCTGTCAGCAAGCAGCTGTAATGGCTGAAGGCTTAGAGGATTGCAAGGCCTACTGCAACCTATTAGTGCCTCATTAAGTACACCAACTATTTGTAAAGCATTCTTTAAAATGAGCAGCACCCACAAAAAGCCCTGGAGGGAATTAGTCAGTCGCTGTTCATTGCAGCTTTAGGGAGGTGTGGCAGGCAAAACCTAAAGCCACATGTTGAGCGATGAGTATGAAGAGAAAGCGGGAGGAGCTGCCCCTCTCAGAAAAGTGATGGGTCACCAATAAGATGAGGGTCCGTATGATGTGTCTAGAAGATTAACAACTCTCATACAATAAGGGCCTCAAGAATAAACAGTTATGTTTTTTTATTATGTTATTTCAGAAACTTTGATTTGCAATCTAAAGTTGGGTGGGGGCAAGGGGTAATTTTGTACATTGTGCAGCCTGATTAAGACTTGGCTTTGTGACATTTATGAGTTTTCCAGATTATTTGTAGTGCAATAAGGAGAGGAATTAAGAGGATTAACTGACATATCAACTAGTGTTTTCTTGACTTCTTTCCTAAGTATGTTAGGAAACGATGTCCAGTGTATGGAGCCACCCTAGTGAATATTTGTGCTATGATATTAACACTTTTTAAAAATATATAATCTATATAGTTCCTCAGAGATGGGAGACCAACAATTTCTAGAGCAGATTTTCAGAGGCACTCGGATCCATACAAGGCCAAGGAAATTGACAATGAATGACTGAAAACAACTTTTTGTTTGAGCAGCCTTCTTACATTTAACTTGATTTCTGCAGAAAAAGGGGCAGTTTCAATATGTCCTTTGCTGTTTTTCTGATGAATCTTAGACAATTCCTTTCCTAAGTCCCAGCTCCACATTGCCTCATGATCTATGCCAGAAAAGCTTAGGTTTACCTCACCTTCACAGAAAGGTGGATGCATACTCCCATCTATAGATAATAGGTCAATATAGTCTTTGTCAGGATGCTTGTAAATTTAGCCTGAGTATTTCTGAGAGAAAACTAGGCTGAATCAAATTTAAAGAGAGGTTTCAATGACTGGTTTCAATGGTGCCAAGGTTTCAACCCTGAAGAACAGGAAGGTCCTACTGATTCTGAGCACTGTACCAACAGTATTAGAGAGAAACCTCAAAGACCTCAAGATATATGTCAGCCTGGTTTCAGTTGCAAATCTCCTGACCACAAAGGCCAGGGAACTTCATCAATGTACCCTTAGACTGCAAAAGAAATAATCACTCCTTTGCCTGCAGAAGGGGGTTTAGAAAAGACTGCTGACAAACAGCTATTGCTTTTCTGTATAGACTTGTACACTTTTAGAGGCCATGAATTTGCTATCATTAACCAGTAATATTACTTCTCCTTGCAGACAGTGCCTCAGAAATAGTGGATAATATTCTGGTAGGAATGTGAAGAGTGAAATTAACCTTTCTTGAAAGAACACAAGTAAACAAAATTTTCTTGTTTTTAGATGTATTTATTGTTAGCTCCTTTGTAAGACAAGCACAGTAAATTGCATTTATAGCAGAAATAAGATGCCTACACTTATTAAATACTAACAGCACTTGTAGCTAAATTATCTATAATTTTCTGAAATATCAGATACTTCCCACATTTCAGTATTTAAATATAATAAATAAATATAATAAATATATAAAAATTAAATAGAATATATTTATTATTATAATAATATAATATATTTAAATATAATAAATATAAGACTGAAAAAAAGGAAGCGTGGTCATAATGGAAGTAATTCTTTAATTTCAGTGATCCTGTATCAGGTAGTAAGGCCTAAATCTTCAGAGATATTTAAATTTATTTTGCTCTCCTGAAAGTCAAGACTTAGGTGGCTTGACAAAAATGTACAGGCTTCCACCCATGCTTCTGCTTCTTTGCAGATCTGGGGACTTACACTGTAAGCAGTTCAGAACTAGGATTTTTTCCTTAGGTTCTGTGAAGACACCTAGCACATCTTGCAGTACTAGGGAAATACTTTAAAAGTGAATTATAAAAATATGTATTCTAAAACTCTATTTAGATGCTTAATATCCAGATATAAAACCAGTTACTAATTGCTCTCTGAAATATCAGATACACTGCTGTTAAACTTCTAAATAATTTAAGTGGCCTTGGTTTCAGTTGAAGAGCTTCCTGACTACTCGTGCCCTGTGGGTTTCCCTGGGGCACAGCAGGTCTGAATTAATTTTATTTTCAAAAAAGCTCCAATGCAAGAGCTGCACTAGGCACACATGGGTCACTGAATAGAGGGCCTCTAGTCATCACAAGCATGAAAGAAAAGTTTTGTTTAGGAGGTGCTGTATTCAGCTACTGGCTCCCATTTCTTTTCATGTTCATGAGAGGTGGCAACTGGACTCTTTGGACCACAGCACCTCAAAGCTGCCTCCAGCCCAGCAGTCCCACTGCTTCCACTGCAGCCTGGGTTCAGCTCCAAGTGCAGGGCTTTGGGAGTTGTTGGTCTCTCGTGCAACAACCATTTGCAGTGATCATCAGTTGTGCATCAACATGATGTAAGCACAGAGAGCTGACAAAATGCAGCATTTCTAGGACTGAACTTGCAGTTCCTTCTTTTCCCTAAAACATCTGCCATCAGACTGGAAGATGAGGATGGCTGTGATACAGGATAAATGGCTGCCTCATGCATCCAAGGCTTTCTATGCTGGTGCATTTCAACAAAATAAATAAAAATAAATAACTAAATAATTAAATTATTATTCAATTAAATAATGGAATACTAACCCAGTTCTTTCAGTAAGTTACTTTCTCAATAAATTAACACATTAAATAATCCAAATAGCAACGGCCATTACATGCCATTGCAAGTCATATCAAGTAAATAATAAATAAATAAATAAATAAATACAGGCAATAGAATAATATGCAGAACCTACAATAACAGCTGACAGAAATGTACCAAAGTACTATGCATGTTAATATAACATGATGTATGCCAAAGGTGTTACTCAAATTTGGGGACCTTAGAAGAGCTGCCAAAGTCAGGACTGTATGAATCTATGACAAAAGAGATCTTGTGGCTTCTTAATAACTTCAAATGCAGATTTTTCCTTCAATTGTGCTTATGTTCTTGTGGTAATTGATTCTTCACTTTCTTTAGGAGTGTTGTGCCATCTTAGAATCTTTCACTGCTTATCTGTAAAATAAGATCAAGGAAATTTACACAAGGATTATCTCTTTTTCTCAGACCTAGATTTTTAGTCCATTTCTCAGTAAGGGTTTGCTGGTCTCAGCCATCTAGTGAAATGCCACCTCTCAGTTTCTCTAAGGGACTCAGGACCACACAACACAAGGCTCAGAAGTTCCCATGTCTGGTAAGTAATAGGGGGTCAGCTTCAACTGATGAGAGTGAGGCACCTGGGCAGCTACAGTCCTTTTGAAATTTCCTTCCATTCCCACTGGTATCTATAAATTCCCCTGCACCGACGAAGACTGGAGTCACAGAGCAGTGTGCTCTCATTTCAAGTGTTTCAATAGGGCTACAAGTTTATAACACTTCAACAGTGTGACTCAGGAAACTTGGAGGTCAGAGAGACTTGCACCTACATCTAACTAGGGAAAAAAACACCTTAAAACCAACACCAAAATTACAAAAAAAAAAAAAAAGAATAGGAGAAGATTTAAAAGTCTGCATAATTCTTTTTGGTGTTGATCTGAGGGAGGTTATTTCCATGTTTAAAAATATGTTCTGACTTGGAAAGCTGGGGTGAGTAATTCAGAGCTGTTAGAGAACGCTACTCAATTCCCAGAATAAGAAAACAGCCAGTCCTAGGACTCAGGGAGGCTGCAAACAGCTTTTCTTTCTAAAAGCAAGTATTTCATCTTTCTCACTCCCTTTCTCACTTTACTAGTAAAACTTGCCTGTATATGGATTGTCTGCTGTGTTTGAATGCTCAACATTGATTCATAAACTATCAATGAACAGAAAGTATAAAAATCAGCATGGGTTACTCTAGCAACAGCCAAGTGCTCATATATTTCTTGAAGATTATTTTATTATTGCCTAGTTAGGTAGAACCCTATCCATGTCCATGAGCCTACATCTCCTGCTTCCTCTCTGATTTAAATGTATTCTAATTGTTTTCTCAAATATTTTTTAAGAGAATAATCCCTTAGGCAGCCTGATACGTTATTTACATGTTTATAATGAAAAAATATTCAGGAGACTAAAATGGTTATGAGGAAGTGTGAAATAAATTAGTATTTAAGAACCAGAATTTCATAGACTCCTTCCTCTGCCAGGTAAGGAAGCATCCCTGCTTCTCCAGTAGAAAGCTCTTTAGGTCTTACCTGCAAAATGTAGACCACTCACTCCAGGATGAGCTGTAATAGCGATCCCTGGCTTGCACAGAGATCTTGATCTTGTCTTTTGGCCCGGCATTTGGAATCTGAAGAGACTGCTCATCAGTACTATAGAACTGTGGCACAGCTCCATCAGCAAACTTTAGAGGTAAAGCAGAAAGTACAATTGAGAGCCAGACATTGTAACAAGCACATGTAACTCAAAAAACCCACTGGTAGTCTGTTATTTCAAAGGCAACAATCTTTACCTACAGATACCAAAGTGACTTGTGAGAACTGAGACCTCAGTGTAGTCTAAAAAGCCCACTTTCCACTGAGGTTAGTGTTGTAGAGTGATTCTACCCCCAAACTGAAACACTCATTAAAACAAAGGGTTTATTTGTTTTTCTGGATTTTTCACTTTTTGCTTCTTTTCTCCGAGTGGGAACCATAAAAGACAGAAGTTGCTGCTTTGCAGTTCTGTTAACGTTTCCACTGAGGACCCGTGGCTGGCACAAGAAGCCCTCGGTAGACTCGCCAAAGGGACTGTGCAAGACAGTTCTATTAAAACCAAGGAGGCAGCGCTAGGGGAATGGCCCCATCTGCTGGTGGAGGCTCGCTTGGTTTTTACACGTAGGAAAATACGCCCTCTAGCGTCTTTGCTTTAATCAGCAGATAAACTGGAGCTATCATGAGATTTGTTTACTCTTCTAATTGCTGGACCACAGAAGAGCAGCACTGCGGTTATGGACCTGCACTGAGTTGAACTGGTTTGTTTTCCAATTCTGCTATTGATTTCTTTGCCAGCCTAGGCAAATAGCCACCCTGCTGCTGTGTACCCTTGAGTGTACCCATGTTCAAAGGAAGCAAAACTATTTTGTGATTTAAAGCTAATGCAGAATAGTAACGTTCAGTTGACAATTAACTCATACTTGGAAAGTGAGTGACAAAGACTTCGGCAGTCTCCACAGAAATGCTACCAAATGAGTCACTGATTCCTTATTTGCCAATTTATCTATAAAGAAAGTCTGAGCTACCCAGGTACAAACAACACACAAGGAAATCAGTGCAACAGATGCTAGACTTCTTGATTTGGAAACTCGGATTTTCCCACAACAGAACCCACACAGCCGACTAATGAAGTAGTAAATACTTTTCTCATTCTAGCATAGCTGCGCAATACTGGGCACAGTTTTATCTCCCCAGTTACATCAGGGTTGCATCCACCCCAGAACTCCAGACTGTGTTGTTCGGATCTCATTGCCCACAGAACTGGGAAGGTCTTTTTCTGCCCAGGCAGAATCTTGCCACAGGTGGGTCTCAGCACCTTTTATTTTTTATTTATTTTTTTAAATTCTAGTCCAATTTTTTCCTGCATATTATTTATACTTGTTTATATTGTCTGTTCAAGCAAGAAAATAATGTTTCATATGTTGTATCTCTACCTGGATTTTGTGTTTCTTTGCACTTTCAACTTTGACCCTGAAAGTCAAAGGGAAGTAGGACTTTGGGGTGCTCCATGTTCCGGGATACGTCCATGTCACTTTTCCACTTGAGGCCACATAATGACATTGGGGTGGGTCAGGTTTTACTGCCAGAGAAAATACAGAAGGAATTAATTCACATTAGCAGCATAATATCAGATGTTAGTGTGCTACTGTAGATAGTTTTATAGGAATCAGCTTTGGGAGTTCACAGGACATTAAGGGAGGAGTAAATGTGATGTGCAAGACAAGAACTGCCTTGTGTGCTTCTTACAGAAAATTAACCACAATCCTAAAATCTCTCTGGGTAAGATCCTCTCTTTTGTTTTTTGTTGTTGTTTTGTTTTTGTTGTTGTTGTGGGGTCTTTGGTTTGTTTTTTGTTGTTGTGGGTTTTTTTTCCCCTGGAGGGTTGCAGAGTGATCTGTTGGACATGAAGGAATATCTTCAACCCTGCTGACCATTAGGGCTTTTAGCAAACATCCATTTCTTTAAGATGCTGCTTCATTTCCCCATGCCCTGTGGCATCATGGTCACAACAGGTCCTCTTATTTCCTCTCAGTTTCTACAAACGTGCCCTGGATGCCTGGCTGTAAGAATGGATCAGGAGGGAAGCATCCATAGCCTTAACCACAGCCTGAGAAAATCTGCAGTTCTTGGAGAAGACCTTCTGGGTTACTGGTTGTTCTCTGACTTCTCCCACATACCCCTTCCCAAACAAGTCCATCTAAGAAAGTAGGCTAAACTTCTGGGACATGTGGGGGTGAGTGGGTTGGAGGTCACAAGTTAGAGAGATGTTGCTTCTTCACTTCCTCATCCTCTTCTGGACTGCTGCTATGACTTGTTTTCCCCTGTTCCTGTAACTGGGGGCTTGATACAGATTTAGAGTAGAATAGGGCAGGGTTTGATCAAGCTATCAAGCTTGGTTTGATCAGCTATCATTGTTAGTTCCACCATCAGCAGCAAGAATAAAACTAAGAATCAACCATGACCCTTGGTCTACTCACTGATATCTCTGATGAAAAAGCTGGTAGTGTAGTTTTCATATTCCACTTCATCAATGGCCTCCAGAAACATCTCAATTGGCTGGTGCTCTTCAGCAAATGAACAGTAGTTTTCTTTCCGGCACTGGGCTGTGTATTCAGTTACTGATTTACCAGTGTGAGCTACAGGGGCGCTACAGCTTATGTCTCCTTGAGAGCTGAATAGAGAACAGAGGAAAGTAATGAAAACCCTAGTTTGTTCTAAAAATTTGTTGCCACAATAATAACATGTAGTTAGTAAGGTAAATTTTTGCTGTTGCCTGTATCTTTTAATGGCTGTTCTTTAGAAACACTTTAGTGGGAGTTCTTATATTTTCAGTGCTGTATTACATATTGATGTAAAATCAAAAAAGCCCCCGATTTAGCAGAAGGAATTAGCATTTAAACCTAAACCAACATACATAATGTCTTACTAAGTCACTGTCTCATGACTAGTTCTGGTATCATACTTTGGTCCTTAGACCCTTCCAAAAGCTTGCTGGAAGAAATACAGGAAGATCAAAATGTATTCACTGGGAAATAAATAACAAAAGCCATCTAGAAAGTACTACCTGAATCTGTTTCTATTTTTGCATTTAGCAAAATAAAGCACTTTGCAGTTGTTTCTTCTTTGACAAAATGAACTGACCTTTGCTCAAGCACTCAATGTTGTGGAGAAACTCCCCAGAGTAGTGGGAGGTAGGAATTCCCCACAGGGTTCCCATCACGTATTTCCCTTGCAGGTTTCTGCAGTGTTCCTCAACAGAGACTTGTCAGTGGGCATGTGGCTTTTGCAGTGGGTAGAGCCTCCTGCCCCCTTGATTCCACTGGATCTGCTGCAAAGGGACTCAGTGCTATGATTGTTTCTGGTTTTGGCTCAACTTCCTCTCTCTCCCCTGCATTAATTGTTTTTGCTATTGCTTAAGCTATTCTGTGCTGTACTGCAGCAGCGGTAACAGTCTGGTGGGGACTGTTTCATTTTCAGGATTGTATTAATTTCTGAGCAGCTTCCATGCCCTTAGTAGTTAAGTTAGTCCCAGTGATGGCTCAAAACATTTTGCAGATGTTCAGGCTGTGGAGGTGGGATTCCTTGCCTTCTGCATGTCCTCAATACCCTAAAGTCCAGGATCTCCTACACAGAACAATACAATGGGCTGTTCTGGCCTTACTATGAGGTTGTTAAGGAAAGTACAAGCTTTTACCCTTGCAGACTTCTGATTGTGAACTTCACGTTTGGACTCTCATTTTCTGTCATCCATGAACACATGAAAATTCCAGAGTAGTTCTTTGCCTCACATTTTAGAAATGTCCTGCTTGGCTCTAGATGGAAAAAGAAAGAAAACAGTTTATTTACTCTTTTTGCCTAAAGGGTCAAAGCAGAGAGACAACAGTAATTCGCTAGACTCCCCTCTTCTTTGGCAGGTGGTGGTTACAGAGTAAGACACAGTCTGACCCTGCTCCTTGGGCAGGCACCTGCAGTTAAGAAGCCAGATAGCCACAGTGAGTGGCTGAAGGCTGCTTTACATGGCACTACATTAACCACATCTAAGTAGCCAATGGCAGGAGGCAGAGCACACTGAAGCTGTTGCAGATAGCTGTAAGTGAGAAACTTCCAGAGACAAATCCACCCTTCCTTTCACATGGAAACATAGTGGCTATTCAGTTGACAAACCTCTTCTGTATTTGTTGCCCCTCCAGTGAGTGTGCAGCTGTGGATAATCTCACACCTTCACACGCTGGGGCACTTGGTGGGGAACGTTTCCAGGGTGAGAAGTGAATGAGGCCTCAGTTATAGGGATTTCTGCTGCCCAGCACTGCAGATTCTCAACAATCCTATAGTGTACCCTGTCTGGAGCTGACTGACAGACCAGCCTGCTGCATCTGTTATGTGTGTCCAGGAGCCAAGAAAAAAGCCTTAGAAGTTCATAATTTCCTGGCAGTACAGCAAGGGACTGCAATATGAGACATAGATGAGTGAGGTTCATGCAGAAAATGCAGAACATCACAAGCTTGGCCCAGTGAGTTGTGAGTGGAGAAGCCCTAATGACAGCACTTAAAAATCTTGATCAGTCCCTGGTTCTGTCAAATCATGTAGCCCTGGTTTTGCAGATTCCCTTCCAAGTGCTGTATCTGTGAGATGGAGGCTAAGCAAGTCAATTGCTCCCCCACCAGAAAAGCAGTGGTGTAGAATTGCTCTTTTCCTGGATCTAATCTTTCCTGCCATGACTCCATCCTATGGGTCTAGAGAGTCATAAATGAATCCCATGGAAACCGATTCCTATGCTGCTCATCAGCTGCATCACACACAACCCCACAAAGGTCCTCGTTTGCCTTTCACTGTCAGTACAGCATTTGAAGAGGACACATTTTCTCATGCATTTCTCCAGAGAGCTCCCTCTGGTCCTCACAAAGCTCTGATGCACAAAGCTGAACAGGATACACCACACCATCTTATGACCATACCTTTAAAGCTTTTCAGAATTGACCTTATCATTTGCCCATTGGAGTCGATTTTAGTTATGAGGAAAAAATTATAGGTGACAATTTCATCAGTTTTAGTTGTCAGACAGGTATAGTTGCCAGCATCTGGGAACTCCTTCACTTCAGCAATCAGAGTCTTTCCAGTTCCTTTCACTTCGGTGCCCTTTTTCCAGTAAACTTCGTAAGGTGAATCACAGGTGAGCTCCACTCTTTTACCTTGTGTCTCATCATTCCACTCTGATTCTATGACATACACTGGACATTGCAGAGAAAGACATGTTAGCAGCTACTCATACTTAACAGTGTGAAGATTTAATGGACCCCTTTTCTCAGCTTTACTCTCCACAAAAACCACAAACAGAACTCTGGCTTTCCTGTCCTAGGTGATCCTGCTCTGGCAGGAAGGTTGGACTCAATGAAGTCCCTTCCAACCCCGACCATCTTATGATTCTGTGATCACCTGGAAACCTTTACTACAAGAAGAGATTCAACTTACACTTTACAGGGTATCTAGAACCAGCTGATCAATAGCAATTATATTTTAATAGAAGAAGGGAATTTTTTTCCATGCTCCCACAGAATCTTGCAGTGGTTCATAACCATGGGAAGTGGGCAGGTACCTTTGTTTTAAAAGCAAGGATTCCAGGTCTGAGCCCAGCTATTCCTG